GACGTCTGAGTTTTCAGTGCGAGGCCCCCGCGAGTCCCGACACTTTCCCCGGGACCCGTCTTCCATTCCGAATCCTTTCGTTGTCGGCCCCAGGGCCTGGCGAGGGCGCCCTGAAACCAAAAAACTGCTAAAATCACTTCCGTCGTGTTTTTTTTTCACAGTGCGAGTATGTCTGGGTACGTAAGATTCCTCTTGTCCACGTCCCAGGCACGGTGGCGGGATGCGCCGAAGGCCACCAGATCCGCCGCCCCCTGTTGATTCAGCACAGGGGTGCCTGGCGTGCCAGACTATTACGGTTTTGGTTTTGGTTCTTTTTCCAAAGAACTCCCCCTGGGGCTCCGGCGCGTCCCGCCAGGGTCCCGGGAGGATTGCCAAGGACCTCAATTCCCCAATTTCCTGCCCAAGACGGCTCCAAGATGGCCTCCAAGATGCCTCCAAGACGGCCAGGATGGCCTCCAAGACGGCTAAGATGGCTTTAAGATGCCTCCAAGACGGCCCAAAATGTACCCAAGACGGCCTAAGATAGCCTCAAGATGGCCCAAGGCGGCCCAAGAGGCCCCTAAGAGGCCTCAAGGACAGCCCAAGAGCCCGTCGAGAGGTTCTGCAGGAGGGCCCGAAGAGGCCAAAATCATTGATTCTCTAAAGTTTTTGAAGGATTTTGGAATTTGCTTCTTCTCGGCATTCCGACGGCTCAAGACGGCCCAAGAGGCCCCCAAGATCGCCCAAGAGGCCCCCAAGAGGGCCCCATGACGGCCCAAGTGGCCTCCGAGATGGCCCCAAGAGGGCCCCAAGACGGCCCAAGAGGCCTCTAACACGCCCAAGATGGGCCTCCAAGACGCCCAAGATGGCCTCCAAGACGGCCCCGAAGCGCCCCAAGAGGGTCCCCCGTTGGCCCAGAAAGGCCCCCAAGACGGCTCCCGACGGCGTCAGACGTGCCAGGAACCCACCAAGATGGCCGAAGTTGGCTCGAAGCTGGCCCAAAAGGGCCCAAGAGGCCCCCAAGAGGGCCTCCAGGAAGGCCAGAAGAGGCCAAAAACATTGATTTTCCTGTGGTTTTTGACGGATTTTGACATTTCCTTCTTTTCGGCCTTCCGACGGCCCGAGACGGCCCAAGAGCCCCCAAAGATCGCCGAAAGATCGCCCAAGAGGCCTCCAAGACGGCCAAGATGACCTTCAAGATGCCCACGTGTTCCCCGAAAGCTTTCCAAACCGATTCGGGGAACACATGCTCCGATGGCTTGACAGGTCTGGCCTCAACGTTCGGCCACATAGGCGCTTCCACAAAGGCAGGGGGCGGCGGTGATTCGCCGTAGGCGTCTTCGATCCGCCGCCCCCTGTTGATTTATCACAGGGGTGCCTGGCGTGCTAGACTCTATACAATTTGGTTTGGGTTGCATTCCAAAAGAACTCCACCTGGGGTTTCGGCGCATGTCGGCGGCCACCCGGAAGGCCGCTGAGCTGCGCAAAAAAACGTTTCCAAGTCGGCCTAGATGGCATCCAAGACAGCCAAGATTCGGGGATGGACAGACCCCCCTTTAGTAAAACGTGGTTTAGTGAAAACGACCTGAGGCCAAAACCTGGCGGGCGCAAGCCTGGAAAATAACGGCCACGGCGCCCTCTCGAGAACCGAAAACGGACAATTCACTAATCGACGTGTCACTGTTGGGGGTTCTGTCCACCCCCGAAAGATGACCCAAGATGGCCTCAAAATTCGCCCAAGATGGTCCAAGATGGCCTCCAAAGACGGCCCCAGAGGGTCCCAGATCCCTTCAAGTCCGCCCAAGAAGCATCCAAGACGGCCCAAGACTGCTCCAAGAGGCCCCTAAGAGACCTCCAAGACGGCCCAAGAGGCCTCCAAGAGGGCATCCAGAAGGGCCCGAAAATAAAATCACTGATTGTCCTTAGGTTTTTACTGGACTATGGCATTTGCTTCTTCTCGGCCTCCGGAAAGCCCAAGACGGCCCAAGAGGCCCTCAAGGTCACCCCCAGAGCGCTGGAGAGGCCTCCAAGATGGCCCCATAACGGCCCAAGTGGCCTCCAAGACAGCCCCAAGAGGGCCCCAAGACGGTCCAAGAGGCCTCCAAGACGCCCAAGATGGCCTCCGAGACGGCCCTGGAGCGTCCTGAGAAGACCCAAATAAAGACGGCTTCTGGCTGCGTCAGACGTGCCAGCAACGTCCCACGAGGACCAAAGAGGCCCCCAAGAAGCTTCCAAATGTCCCCTAAGAGGCCCGAGGAGGCCTCCAAGAGGCATCCAAGAGGTCCCCAGGAAGCTCCCAGGAGACCTCAAGAGTGCCCCAGTAGGCTCCCGAGAAGCCTCCTCCCCCTGTTTCCTCCTTCTCGTATGATTAGTCTTAGTATTATGTGTCTCATGCTTCTTGGTCGTACGATTAGTATGATGCGTAATAATATTATCAGTATTCTTACGTTTGGCATGTTTACCAGCAGTATCGTTATTGAACTGATTACCAGTATTAGTGATTAAAAAATTATACGTCTTAGTAGCATTGTAATAAGTAGTAGGGGTAGTAGTAGTCTTAGTATGAATGGTACCATGTGTGTTACTGGCATGCCTAGAACTGCTAGTTGAAAGTATGTGCATGGACATTCGTAATATCATGAACCGTCGTGTTCTTAGCGTTCGTAGACTATGTGTATGACTGGTCTTCCTTGTAACATATGGTCATTGCTGGTACTAGTAGTAGTCGTATTGTTGGTGGTAGTCGTAGTAGCAGTAGTAGTAGCAATAGGAGGGGGTAATAATAGTAAGATTAATGATAGGAGTTCTCCCCCGCGTGATCCCCCAAGGGTTTCCACAACGGCTGGGGGGACAGATAGTCCGATAGCTTGGCCGAGCCATGGACACAACGTTCGGCCACATAGGCGCGTCCAAAAAGACAGGGGGCGGCTGTGATTCGCCGAAGGCGTCTTAGATCCACCGTCTCCTGCACTTGGCACAGGTGCACGGCGTGCTGAACGTTTGGTTTTTCGGGGTTCGTGTAAAGGTTCCCAGTGGAGCCTTGGCCTGATGCGCTCGGCCATACAAACCTCAGTCTACAACAAATCGCTCCAAAATAACCAGGATGGCCTAAAATGGCCTCTCAACTGCCTCCAAGACGGGCAAGAGAGGCTCAACATGGCCTCCAAAATGGTCCCAAGACGCCTCCAAGACGGCCAAGGTTGCCCCAAGACGGCTCAAGATGTCATCCAGACGACCCTCTTGGGCCCCAAGACGCCCCAAGAGGGCTTCAAGAGGACCTCCAGGAGGCAAAAATCATGGATGTCCCTCCAGTTTCTCCGTAAGCTCCCGACGCCCCAAGGCGGCCCCATAACCCCAAGACGGCCCAAGGAGCTCCCAAGAGGCCCGCAAGACGGCCCAGGGAGGGCCCCAAGACGGACCAAGAGGCAAGGACGGCCCTAAGACGGCCCCATAGACCTCCTGGAAGGCCCTCAAGCGCTCAAAGTGAAACCCACGATTGCCCAGAGAGGGCCCCAAGACGGCCTCCGAAGGTCCAGAGGCCCCTTGGAAGCCCCCCAAGCCGCAAAGAAGCCCAGGAGCCCCCTCAGAGGCCACTCGGAGGCCCCCAAGAAACTCCCAGGAAGCCCTCAGCAGGCCCCGAGACGGCCTCAAGAGGTCTACTCCTCCTCCTCTTCCTCCTTCTCCGCCTCCTCCTCCTCCTCTTCCTCCTCCTCCTCCTCCTCCTCCTCTTCTTCCTCCTCCCCATCCCTCTCCTCCTCCTCCTCGTCTTTCTCCTCCATCTCCTCATCCTTCTTTCGTCTTCCTCGTCCTTCCTCTTCCTCTTCTCCAAAGGTTCCCCCTTATTGGTTACACAACGACTGGGGAACACACAGGTTCCAACATGTACGTCAGACTTCGGCCAAACGGTCGCATGGACGTGTCTAAAAGGCAGGGGGCGGCGGTGATTCGCCGTAGGAATCTTCGATACGCGCGGGTCAGAATCGTGAGCGGGCGCGTGTTCTTGTTCACAACGCCAACCATCTCTTGTTCGTCCGCACCCGTCGATCCTGGCTTTACTTTTTCGTCCGCGCGTTTGGCGGCGGAGTGTGAATTACTGAAAATCGCTCATGGCACTCCCGAAGTGGCTCTTGCGCGAGGGGGCGGCGAGGGACAAGGGGAGAAGGAGAGGATGGGGCGACTAAAATCGGGCTGTCCTGGGACCTCCTCGGGGCCATCGTGGGCTCGCTTGGGCCTCTCTTGGATCCCCTCGGGGTCATCTCGGGGTCCCCTCGGGCCTGCTGGGGCTGGGGGGGGGTTCTGAGGAGGGGGGGGCGACTAAACGGGGCTGTCCTGGGACCTCCTCGGGGCCATCGTGGGCTCGCTTGGGCCTCTCTTGGACCCCCTCGGGGTCCTCTCGGGGCCCCCTCGGGCTCTGCTGGGGCTGGGGGGGGCGCTGAGGAAGGGGGGGGGGGCCTGCAGGGCCACGACCCGGGGGGCGAAGGTTGAAGGGGCCCAAGGACACACAAATAAATATACACAGATAAAAAGATTCCCCATCTTTTCCCATAGTTTCTGGGTTCTTGTCTTCCCCCCCACTGCCCATATTTTCCCATATTTTCGAGGGAATCGGCGATGAATTGTGTCTGTGTGTTTCTTCCCCTCCTGAAGAGTCAGGGCCAGGGGTGGTGCCGAGGACGAGCGAAGAAAGACGAGGTCGGCTGGAAATAGAGAAGGCTCCGACGGTGAGGCTTCGGGCTGCGCACAGACAGCCTCCCCAGGCGGCCTCGGCTGGCCTCCACAGGCCCCGCGAGCAGCCCAGGGCTCAACACCTCAGCCCCTTGGGCACGGAGCGCCCCAGAGGGGCGCCGCCAGAGGCGGCGCCAGGGTGTCGAGACCGCCCTGGGCTGCTCGGAGGGGGCCCGTGGAGGCCAGCTGGGACCACCCGGGGGGGGGGGCCGCCTGAACTGTTCGTCGTCCACGTCGTCCTGCGGGAGCTGGCTATTTCGGTCGTGGCAGGATGGTGCCATGAGCCTACACGAGTGCTAATTCAACATGCTTTGTTTCATGGACGGAGCATGGATGACCAGGGCATTCTGACATAGATTCTGACAGATAACTTTGCGCACGTCTTCTTCTTCCTGGCAGCGAGTAAGCCCGGGCAGAGTTATGTCATGAAGTATCCCAGGTGCAACACCATCCACAACCCTGTGCACAACCCGAAGCCTTACCAGGCTCCGAGCTCGTAAGATACAGCGGTGCAAGAGGATTTGAGGGAGGGAATCGCCTGGCTTCCCGCTGCTCAGGTTGTGCACGTGCGAGATCAGCAGGCGCAGCGTCAGGCGGTTGGTGAAGAACTCGTCCAGCGAGTGCTCGACGTCCCGGATAAGCTTGAGCTCCTCCCGGACCTCCGCGAGCTCGATGTCCTTGCCGAAAAGCTCGTTGAGGTCCTCTAGCGGAAGCAGTGCAGCATAAACACGTGTCGGAGACCCGCGCGAATTGATTGGATCTGCGCTGAACCCCTCTCCCTTGCACGCGGATCGCGCCAGGGGCGGCGCCTGAGGCGCCGCCAGGAGGCTCCAGCGTAGATCCAAGAAATCTGCGCGGTGCTCCGAAAGTTTACAATTACGCAATTGTTCATAATTCGATCCTCGTAAAACTCGAAGACGCCCTTGGCAACGTCAAGCATCGTGCCCCGATGCTGGTTGAAGATGCCCCGCGTGAGGTCGTGGTATTCCCGGCTGCACACGCCTTCGATGCCCTTGTCGTGCTCGAACTCCATGACCTGCTGGAAGTTCTGCACATAGGCGCCGGTCACCCGCTTGATGCTCGGCGCGTTGCAGAAGCCAAAGGGCATCTCTGAGAGCCGCATCGCACAGCGCGCGAGCCCGACCTTCAGGGTCTCGTGCAGCCTCATCGAGCGCTCCCTCGGGGTGAACTGGGCCATCTGCAGCAGGTCGTTGATGGACCTCTTCTCCAGCTTGCACTCCGCGAACTCGTTCATCACCTCGGCGTCTGACCATCGGGCCGATCAAGGCCACCAAACCACGCGACCGGATCGCGCCTCCGATCACTGCAGATTACCACGCTGAGCCAACAGGGGCCGCGGGCCAACCGCCGGCCGACCACCCGCCAGCTTGTGACGACCTTGTGGGCCGACAAATGCGGCGCTCGCTTGAATTTGCTCTGAAGGGAGCTGGCATGAAGCGCACCGGTCCCAAAGGAAACGGGTCCTCGATCCCGACGCCTTCCCCTGAGACCAGCTCTTCATCCGCGATCCCGGGGCGCACGCAGGGCCCCGGGAACTCGAAAACGGGGAACGCCTCAGGAGCCGCTTCTCGGCGGGGAAGAGGCCACCCGCAAGAGATCGCCCCGGGCAGCGCCGCCCGCACGCCTCCGGCCAGCCGCCAGCCGCCCCCCCGGCAGCCCCCCGGGCGGAAGCGCTGCGCCCCAGCCCTACCAACGGCGGCCGATCACCAGAGTGCCCGGGGCGGCGGTCCTCGCACGCCTCAAGAGCAGCTCGCGGGCCGACCCACACACGGGCGGGCCCGACAGCAGAGCCCCGGGCCGCACGAGCGCGAGAACATGGGCCCAAGAGTTTCCCTCCCAAGAGATGCCCCAGCCGACCTCTCGAACCTTCTCCTGGGGCGCGCCCTGGCCAGCGTTTCAGGGCGTATCCAGCCGCAGCGAGGAGGGCGCCCGAGGGAGGCCCGAAAAGCGCTCCAAAACCTGTACCCTCGATCCCCCTTCCTCCTCCTCCTCCTCCTCCTCCTCCTCCTCCTCCTCCTCCTCCTCTCCTCCTCCTCTCCTCCTCCTCCTCCTCTTCGGTCGGTCGGTCGTCGGTCCGGTCTGGAACTAAAGGCCGGTTCGAGTCGAAGCCTCTCCAGGTGTGGGGTGCAGGGCAAGGGAAAATGGACAGAGCGCTCCTACGAGGCAGGGCTGCAGGGCACGTGCAGTTAGACATCTCCTCCTCCTCCTCCCTCCTCCTCCTCCTCCCTCCTCCT